GCTGTAGAATTACTTGCACTTCAATTTTTCTATTGTTCAAGGCAAGATTTGACTTTGCACTCTGAGAAAATACTATTACTGCTGCACAGTTAATGAGCTTTAAAGAGTTTACAAAGAACCCAAATGTACGTCCATATCTGCATTTTTTGAAACATAATTCAATCAACAACTCACACTGTGACAGACATATATCCGTATAAAGTCTTCATTGGTTGAAGAAAACTTCAACTTGTGGGATAAGGTTGAAGTTCTTCTCTGCCTGCCTTTGTATGTAACTTCTCTGAAATCAGTCTGAAAAAAAGCAGTTTGGGCGTTAGTTATTATTAAAAAATGATTTCCTCAGGAATGAAGTAGGGAGAAATAAATATAAAACCGGAATTTTCCCAAGCATTCAAAACTTGGTAAGATATTATGTAAGTGTTGGGCTTAGGTACCTCAAATATTAATCATAAGTAAAATCAAGAACTTAATGGAGTGTGTGTGTGTGTGTGTGTGTGTGTGTGTGCGTGTGTGTGTGTGTGTGTGTGTGCGTGCGTGTGTGCGTGCGTGCGCGCGTGCGTGCGTGCGCGCGCGCGTGCGTGCGTGCGTGCGTGCGTGTGTGTGTGTGTATGAGAATACATGTTAATGGGTGTTTGCACCAGGTAATTGAATCAATCGCACTTTATTAACACCTCACAAGTTGGTTGGGTTTTTTGCTCGTTGACAAACACCTTGCGTCACTTTTGACAGGATACATCTGGTGTTAATTTGAGTGAGTCGTGCATTACACAATGTCTTTACAGCAGTATGTAACAAGCTTCAACTGAAAAAGTGAGACGAGTAATTTGGTTCAGATGAGTTATGGCTGCAGACATGTTCTTTAAAAAATAATGAAATTGATTTAGTCTTAATCAGAACTACTACCTAAAAACTGGCAGAAATTCTCAATAATCCTCATGAATTCTGGAAGCAAATCAAGCCTCCCTTTTTTCAACTCTGCTTCAGGTCTTGCTAAACAACTTTTCATAAAATCAGATGAAATAAAACAAAAAACATTGGCACAAAAAATATCCTTTGTTTTTAGATTTCAATCAATAGAAGTCTATAACTACCCATTTTAGGAACTGTTTATTGTTGCCGAAACAATTAAAACTTAGTTTACCAGTCAACTGAAGAATTTCTGGTATAGAGGCCAGCAATCTAACAGATGAAGAGTCAGGTTTAAGGGCAGGACAGCTCGTGTTTCATTGTAGCAATACAATCATGCAACTTAAATAAAGGGAAACAATGCTAACGCAAACAAACCCAGCACAATGAGTGTGGCAAAGTTATTAATATAAAATTAAATATAGCAAAATGAACAAATGTTAACATGTGGAGAGAACTGTCATGTGATATGTGAACGAAGGGACAACAGGTGGGAAAGGGAGAAGGGTCTCACCCACTTTGTCACACCTGAGAGAGAGCAGTATGCTGTAGTTTTCGTCTTTTGGTAGGTGTCAGTGTTGTCTGTCTTTTCTGTTTTATCTCGGAGATCTCAAGGACTTCCTCGGTAATAAAGATTAAATGAGTTCCTACTCATTAGAGGTTTATCCTCTAGTACCTCCCTTGAATAACATGACAAACTGCTTGCTGAAGCATCATCAGGATGCTGTCATTCTGGTCTGACAGACAGCATACAGACCACGTCCCCCTCTGGAAAGCAATATGGCTAGGGCTGTCTTACACCATGTTTACGGTTGAAATCTGAGGGAGGGGTTACTTCCCTTTGTGATGTCATCAATGGAAAATCTTGCTGCTTCTGCTGAGAGAGTCACGTCTGATTTCACAGCTGTAAAAACTTTTCCCATTCAGACTGATATATCCTAATCCAAAAAAACACAGGAAAAAGCGGAAAATAATGCTGAAAGTTCCAGCCTCCGGTGATCGTCGAAACATTGCATTAAAGGCACAGACGGTTTCTGTTAAGACGCTCTAATCGACAAAGTACGTGGTGCGTCGTGCCCTCTCTCTCTCTCTCTCAGATGTTGGCAGATAATTTCCCTCGCCGCATTTTAGAAATCCAGTTACTCATTTGATTTGAAGAATGGTTTCATCTCTGATATAAATATATATATATATGATCCAAACTTGATAATTGGCATGGGAGTAACAGTGTGATCATGAATTGCATTGTAAGTGACTGTCCATAAATGAGCTTAGCTTAGTCAATCAAATCACAGCCATGTGAAGAGCAAGGGAATCAGCTTGCATTAGCAAGTTTTGAGGGTTTTTGATAGGACTCTAGAGGTTTTTCCTGTCCGTCAATTCTATTAATTTCCCTGCAGAAAAATAACTATGCAGACAGTGCTCTGATTAACATTCCTACCTTATGAATCACGTATCTGCTGTGTTTTTGACTTTTCAGATTGCTCAATAAGTCAGACCATTGGAGCTGCCTACTTTAGGTCCAGTATCTCCCCTCTGTGAAAACCCAAAGATAAAGAGAATAGTGAAAGTGACAGATTGATCGTGTTCTCTATTTCTGGTCTCATTTTGGAAGAAGAAAACCCAAGATCGTATAATACAAGGAATCAAATTTAATTATTATCTTATCATCGTGTATGAATGCAGGACAAATACTGTAGGAGAAAGGAATAACTTCAGACAGAACTCTCAGGACCTCAATTATTTGGAAAACAATTAGGGTATTCTGGTCAAGTCAAAGACTTGATTCAGGACAGAGGTAGAGCAGGAAATGGAGTGGCTACAGTGACATCCTGTGAGATGTACAGATGTGGAATAGCTCAAAATCCAAATTCCTGCAATGGCAGTAAACTGGACATTATGCAGGAGCAGTGTTGGGCACGTTACTGAAAATAAATTACTATAGTTACTACTTACTACCATCAACAACTGAGTTAGTAACTAGCTACTTGGGAAAGTAACTTAAGTGTCACTTTTTTCTCTCAGTTCTCTTATTAGTGTTCACATTATTTAGTGTTGCTGTCGCAGAATCGTACTGTGATTACTCACACATTTCAAATAACACTGTAGTTATTTTCATTATGTATGTTTTTTATTAAATAGGCTCAAAAGTTGATATGAAGCTGTTTCTAACAACATCTGTCTATCAGTCAGCTAGTCTGGCCTTCAGATTGTGGAGCAGGTTTTAAATCAAGCTGCCTGTTTGTATGGAGTGTCTCCTTGGTCTAACGGTGTCTGCAGTGCCATGCTCTCTGACAACAAGTTGTGGTGTTGTTTAGATCGGTGCTTCTTTCTTGTGAGAGAAATTTTCCTTCCTGCATATAAACGACACTACTATACTCATGTCATTTAACTCAAGCAAGCACAATAATGTCGGTATTTCTGGGATCAGAAAGCTCATGGCTGGATGATAACCTGCCTGTGTTTGTTTTATTGTGTGCGACGCTCTTTCTCCCAGGATTCTACCTTGCTGAGGTTAGCTTAACCTCGCCCGCCGAATCGATGTCAATTAACCTTAATCTTGTGTTGTTGTCTGCTATTTCACATAGAGTAACAAGTGATGTGTGCTTTTAAATGTCAGTAATTGAATCTGGAAAGTAACTTGATACATCACTAGTTGCCCGAAATAGTCATGGGCCATGGTGTTACAGTAACACGTTACTAACAACACAGGTGGCAAGACACTCCATCCTTTCTTGAATGACCCCCTGAGGAAGCCATTGGAGTCCACAAGCCCAGGCTTGTTACAGCACCTTACATTTTTACACCAAACATCTTAATATAATTTTTCTCTTGCTCTACCTTTGATTTTGTAGACCACTGCAGGGACTGTGAAGTGTCATTATTTGCCAACATGTAACCTGTATCCAAATGTATTCCCTCTTTGTTAAATGATGATGCTGCTGTCCAATCCTTGATGTTCATAACTTTCCTTAAGAAGATCATGTTATTGTGGTAGTTTGCTAAATACATTTCAACAAACCTTGTACCTATAATAAAGTGAATACAATAGGTGGCAGACGGCCTCCAGTGGGAAAAAAATTGATCAGAACAGACTCTAAGAATTAATTACATTTTCGGCAACTTGAGGAGAAATAAAACATAAGCAGGCAAGCTTTAAAGAGGGGAGGCTGTGGGGATTTCTATAGGAGTAGGATCTTGTTTGCAGTTGCAGGGAAATTTGAGTAAGCTTCCAGGTGGGCATGTCCTTGACTCAAATCCCGTGAAAGATATAATCCACAACACAATATATCCAGTTGCTGCCGCTATCCTGTATTTCTGAAATACAAGTTTTGTTCTAGGCAGGGGGTTGGAGTCCATGGGTGATGATACCAGGGGAGAGAAGGTATTTTTTTTTTTTTTTGACTAGAATCCAACTTGTGACATCACAAGTTGAGCCAATTTGAAACTGAGATTTTTTTCTTGGTGTTGTAAGACTATGCAGACTACAAACAAAGGACTGGATGGGTTTATTTCACAAATTGTTTGGTAGAAACTCAGGTTACCCAAATATATGTTCAAAAACACTGTAAAAGTGGATTTTTCATAATATGTCCCCTTTAATGTTGAACAAAGTGTTTAAAAAAAATCCATATGATGCTAACAAAACAAGAATAAAGTAAAGTATGAGGTAAAACATGTCAAATTAAATGGTCATCAAAGGGTTTGACATAAGTGAAAATACATCCTTAATGGTATGGATTCTTGAATATATTTTAAATACTATTTGTTCCGTCTTTACCTTACACAGACCCCTGTTTGCCTTGCTTGTCTTTTCTTTCCTGTAGGAGATGTATTTGCTCACTGCATGTAGGGAGATTTCTTGTAGGGAAGTATTTGGGTCAAAAACAAAACGACTGAGTGAGCGAGGAAGCAGGGGGTGAGGATTGTAGGTCAGGCAAACAAAACTGCTCCAGAACACATGGACTTTCCCCATGCGAATTAGCATTCAAGCACTGATCTCCCCTGTTGAGCAATGAGGCCAAAGAGAAGAGGAAGCTCAAAGACAGATAAGACAGAGGGAGGGCTGTGGGATGTCATGTGTAAAGAAGGAGAATCTCATTGGAGGCTAGGGGAGAGAAGAGTGCTATGCATGTTTCAGGGGGGAAAATGACAAAAAAAAGAAGCATCCTACATGCTGAAGCCATCTTGGTCTTACTGCTACAACCAGAACAGCACACCAGAGTGTTATTAAGGTAGGTGCTGATTGCATAGCTTCTGAGGGACCAACATACACAATGAGATTAAGTAGTTGTGCGCAGTACTATTTCTATTTATAGTCAGAGTCAGAGCAGAAAACAAGAACTGCATAAATGTTAAGCTGTAATTGGAGAGTCTTGCGTTGTCTCTTCCCTGCACCGCAAAGAACATTTTTTAGAATTTCTAAAGTCAAGGTTTATTGTTGGTTTGACCATTGGTTATACTTCTGTTAATTTCCCTGTTGCTATCTTGTCCTCTTTTTAAAAAATGTATTGTTATACTATCATATTGCTTAATTGCTTAATATGTAAATTATGCAACAGCAATATACTATCATTGATATCATAGAAGCCAAAATTATCAGTTTACTTCTGTACTCAGAATTTGCATTGATTTCACTTCATTGCAGCTAGATTGGATTAAACATATATGGTGCATTATACACAGATAATTACTTATCATGCTAAAAAAAAACTAGAATAACTAATTATGGTATGTGATGTACTAGTTTAGTGTGTGCAGAAAAGCTTTTAAAACCGAGACAAAAAAAACATAAAGCACCTAAAGCATTAACAGTTAATGTACACTTTTGACATGGATGGTTTTTTCGTTTCTTTGTCTCATGTAGTGATTTTGCACATACCGCTGTAACAAGAGCGATATGATGTCCTCCAAAGTGAAGTGGCTGCTTATGATCCAGCTCCTGCTGGTTGACCAGGCTCTGTGCAGGGTCCCTCCTTTTCCGGCGCCAAGAAACAAACTTCTTCCACAAACTGACTTTCAGGAAGACTTAGAGGAGACAGCCAAACATGATCATCTCACTCTCCTTGGATCCCAGCTCCACCGTGGCCTCACATCTGCAGAAAAACCTGGTCCTGTATCAGAGGTTGTGCAAAAAGGGGAGCGAGTTCATTCTGCAAAACTTATAATATCAGTCCTAAGCGAGAAGCTTCAGGGTCAGATCCAAGATCATCTGCACATACAGAGGAACATCAGCTGTATGGAGCTGCTGTCTGCGAGCACTCTGGATGACACCTCATCCTCTATGCTCCCCCAGGAGCTTCTGGGTCTGTCTTTAGTGCCTGTGCTGGTGGTGGCAGGCTGCACACAGGAGGCTCATACCCTGGTGCTCAAGCTGTATGAGCTATTGGGAGTGAAGGATACTGGGGAGCTCCTGATGGAGGTGGAGGATCTGATCGAGAGGAGGGTGAGCAAGTCTGAATCTACACCTGCACCTGCATCATCATCACTGCCATCAGAGAGGGATGAAGCAGGACGCCACATAGAGGCTGTGATGTTCAACATCCAGCAGTTGGCCTTGGTGGGAGAAGGAAACATTAAACAGGAGGGGCACTGTGAGGGCTGGAGCAGGGTGAATGGAACAACACTGGTGGGAACAGCTGTGGAAGGAGCCACAGGTGATCTAGAGGAGGCTTTGAGCACCTGTGAGGGACTGGGAGTCCTGTGTGCTGGTGTGACTAGCAGTGGACTGCTCAAGCACAAAAAATACCAGGTCTTGCTTCGGAAAGGTAGTCGCATCCTGCCCTCTGAATCCTCCGAGTCTGAGAGTTGGATCCGTCAGTGCAGCACAGAGGAGGATGTTTTCACTCCAGCAGGTTCAAGCCGACGGATGAAGCGAAGCCCACAGACGAACTGCATCAACAGGAGCGAGGAGCGTGTGTACAATGTGATGGAGTGGATCCCTGGGGTCAGCACCCTCTATAACCTCGGCACAGCTGTGTATTACGCCTCAGTCAACTGCTCTGAAACAGCCAAGGAGAGAGCCATCCTCAGCGCTGTCGACCTTGGTACGGACGCTATCATGGTGGCGACAGGGGGGGCAGCTGGGGTGGCAGGCTATGCGCTTGGTGCAGGGGTGAAGACTGGGGTAAAAGCCGGTGTGAGGTATCTGCTCAGTTCTATGAAGAAGGAAGATGATGTGCTGGTGAACCAGTTCAGCTGGGAAGAAGGTGTCATCACCGTCCAGTAAAAAAGAAGAAACCAACCTATGAAGCTTCAGCAATAAATGTAATGGGTTAATGCATTTTTCTGATAAGAATTAACACATAATTTTTATTGACATAATTGACACAATTTGTCATGATACTAACTGCTTTTCTTCAACGAATGCGTTTACCTTCTGAGAAACAAAGTGTATTTACATTTTGTTTGAGTGAAAAGTTGATTCTTCTCCTATGCATTGTAAACATTTTTTAAAAATACATGGAAATTAGCAGGATCTTAAAGAAGCCTTTGCTTTGAACCGTTTTGCATTTTCTACAGTGAATAGTTAAAACATTTATCATGTTAAGCAGTATATTTTGATAAAAATGGTCTCAGGAATTAAACGCTCAATCCCGTAACATTATAATTCTATCCTCCCTCAAGTGTATTTTCTTCTGTTCCCTCTTTGTCATCACCCTTATTATTTTTCTCTTCTTAAAACATTATTTCAGCTAAAAGTTACATTCCCACCTCTGGTGCAAGTGCAGGGACTTTATTTGTGTTTTGATTCTCATTTCCCAAATGTCAATATATTGTACAATAAATCTGTGTGCATACAGTAATTGTTAGTGTGGTACTTTAGCACAAACACATATATGGGTACCACCAGGGATTGTGGGGATTTTCTCCCCTTAATGGTATCCCTGCACACATATGATCAAACACATATTGTATCATATGACAGTTTCATGCTTAATCAACACTTCACTAAGTTTACATGAATGACCTGTCCAGGGTTTGGAAGGAAATTTCTGCATTTCAACATGTTTGGCAAAAGTCATGAACAAACAGCTGGTCGCAGTAAAATTATCTCTCTGCACTTTGTCCTGTGAACTCTGCTCTCTGACCAAACAAATTGGTCAGCTTTATTAATCCACTGTTCCCTTAATACTGTTCAACATATTGTGTTAGCTTTGATGGAACTAGAGGAACCGGCTGGGTTTGTTTAATCAGCTGTCCAGAGCACAATGCTGATCCTTTACATAAAGGATTTGTTTTAATAAGAGCTACACAAGGTTAAGATCCATTTACTTACAATAGATTACTTTTCTGTTTGTCTTAAAATTACCTTTGTTTTTAACTTTTTGCTGAGAGTTTTTTTTTTCAATCTACGGAAGTAATAATGCTTGATGCCAGGAAAGACTCTGAAACAGTTTTTTTTTATGTGTGCTGAGCTTAAGTTAAGAAAAGTGTATTTATATATTTACTTATATTATAAGTACAGGAGCAAAAAGAGGGCATTTGAAGGCAAAAAAGAGAACACTTAAGATGACTTAATTTATAACAATGATGAAGCGTAAGATAAGAAGTGATTGAATTTGCGGAAAGGCAGCAGTGACTAAAAACATCAATGGGCCTGAATGCCACATAACCAACTCTCAGGTCTGATCATTTAGTGCTTTATATAGAAGTAAGATTTTAAAATCCAACCCTGACTCACAGCAAGCCAGTGCACAGATTTGAGGACAGTTGTAATGTGTTCTTCTTGTCCTGGTTGGTGAGGACTCGGGCAGCAGCCGTCTAGATGAGCTGCAGCTATCTGATATTTAAGTCAGACCTGTAAAAACACTGTTACAATAATCTAGCCTGCTAAAAATTAGCACGTGAACGAAGTTTGCACTGTCATCTGCTCATTAATTCCTTCAATACACTTTTTCATTGGTGCAATGTTGTGGTCAGCTGTGTCAACAGCAGCACTGAGATCAAGTAAAACTAAAACTCTGACTTTTGATGAATGTTATTAAATAAGTTGAAAAGCGTAACTATATAACTATGACTACACAGTCAGAATAATTTACCACAATAGACACGAGACCAGCAAAATCATCCAAAATAAATGTGCATTAGTCTAGCGGAGCTATTTCAATAAGAACTGCTGCATTATCGTGTTCAGTTAACCAGTAAAACATAAAATCAAGGTTATTCTTTATAACAAAATCATAAATTAAGGGTGACTTGCCAGCTAGAGAACTCATTTTTAATAAAGCTAAGTTTAGACTGCCAAATTTAGCCTTTAGACTGCTTGTAAGGGCCATTATTAAGTAATACATTTATTTAATATGGTTTTGAATTATAGAATTTGCTAGAGTATAGAAGACAATACATTTGTGTTTATTTTGGGAATGTTATTTAATATTTACTGTGATTGACTATTGTGATTTTAATTGTGTATTGTTGTCAAAAAAAGGCCTGCCATGAAGGATGGTTACGGACTTAAGAGGAATACATAGCAGTATAGAGAGCAGGCAAAACAAAGGAGAAAAGCGGTTTCAGTGGGATGAGATGTGTAAAGAGGCAATGAAAAACGGAAACCTACCCTTTCAAATACTGAAACTTTTGTTACACAGTTCTAATAATTTGAGTGAGGAGGCAAGAAGGTAGAGGGACAAAACTAAGTTGGAAATATGGAGGCACTGAGTAGGAAGAATCATCTTGAGGATGAGATAAGTGTACCATTAAACAAAAGCATAGGCTAAGTCTGGGATAAGTGCCACAGGGAAAGATGAGATATGTTCAATCATGTTAAAGCATTTGAGTGCAGAGACACTCAGGATAGTGCAGCGTATATGATTTGGAGAGAAGGAATGTTGATTAGGTTGCATCTCATGGGCGTTAAAGGAAGGATGTTCAACTGGATAATGGACTTTAAAAACGTGAGATCTATTCAAGTTAAAATAGGAGCAGAAATATCTAAAAAGTATGTTGTAGAGAATGGGACACCACAGGGAAGCGTGATAAGTCTGATTTTTTTTTCAATTATATGATATTTTTGATTATATAAGAAAAAAATAATTTTGGGGGAAAAAAAGGGGAAAAAAGTAAATTATGTTGTAAATAAAATGCAGGATGAGATGTCTTTTAGATTTGAGAGCTGATGTTGCTGCCTTAAAATCGATGTGGGACCCAAATTAAAATTAAACAGCTGTCAGCTAATTATTAACAGAACCTAAGAGGGCATACATACAGACAGTCACCCAACAATAACAGTTTTAAAGGCATGCCGGGAAAGAAAGAGCACACTAAAGTCCAGTATTGGGTGATAGAGTGGTGAGAGATAAATTAAATCCAGCAGATGGCAGTATAATGCAACTTCTTGGATGCCAGGTGCCACTGACGCCCCAAAAGGAAGAAGTGTTCAGTTCAGAGCATCTAGGCTATAAGATTATATTTACAGTCTATGGTTGAGAGATGAGGTTCAGAGCCGAGCCCTTGACAGAGACTGGTTGTGTGATATAGTCCACTACATATAACTCCATATATAGGGAGTAAGGGATGTGTGCGTGATTTCGGACACAACCAGTCTCTTTCAAGGACTCTGTCGAAGTCAGTAATATAGTCAAGGTGGAGCACCACGGTGGGTACATATGCATATGTGCAGTAGGCCTACAGACTCATTTCAACTTGTAAAATACTGTATCGTCACCAGAGTGGTTATGACAGAAGTAAGTTTAAGAAACACAAGATTTATTAAAAAGACTACATCACACTTCTGTGACACTAGTTCATTGAAATTCCACCTTTCGAGTTGGCAAGTAACTCCAGCAGTAGTTTTAATCTTTTCACTTAGCCTATTAGGCCGTACTGCTGTTTCTGAAGTCAATTTCTGTAAATCCTCCCAAATCACGGAATCTTTATTTATATAGACCTATGTAAGAAAACAGAAAGAAAGAACGTATTATCTTATAGGCTAACTAGTGTTCTAGCCGTATATACAGCTTTGATGACCAGTTTCAGTTTTGAACAACTTGAAAATGTATTTTCAATAAACCAAAGCCAGATTAATCTCTGTAATGGTGTGTACAGTCTGACCTCTTCTGGTAAGAGTGCGAACTACACAGCTGTAAGGAAGTAAAATGAGAAGATAAGCTGAAGCATACACAATGTAGGCTACACATACAAATAGAAGTAGTCCTACCCATTTTTGCATAACTAGTGTCATTAACATGTTGTTTCAGCAGGCAAACAAGGGGCTCATTTAAAATAGGTTAATAATTATATACTGCTGAGAAGCGTAATAGGCCTAATTACAAAATATAAGCTATTCAATAATAAACACTTAAACTCAATAAAACATAAAATAAGGGTTATTTTATGTTGCTTCAATAATTTAATTCTGGAAAGTAACTTAACTGCCAATATAATGTTGTAAATTCAAGTACAGAGTAAAACACAATTATGTCTCAAAATGTTTGCCTAAAGAACTGAACTTGAGCAGTCAACCAAGTTAAATAAAGTGTAAATGAAGGCACTAAATGGCAATATGTAAAATAGTAAAAATGTTGATATTTAAATATAATTCACATTTAGCGTATCTAAATATGAAATTTAGATACAAGTAGCCTACTGGAACATAATATGTAGTACACTGTTTATGTCTGCTCTTTAACTGAATTTTAACATTATGTAATAGCTTCTCTTCAATTAGACATCATTTATTATGATTCATATCAACCCAACATTTAGGCCTACGTCAACATACAATACACGTAACAACACGGTAGGACAGTCTGTTTCGTTGAATGGAAATATTTAATAAATGCGTCACACGGCAGTCGCTTCACCACTTTCATAATGTCGTTTCACGGGAAATGTTCAGACATTGCCATAAGTTTCTATTTTGCTATTGACCACGCCCCCGTGGAAGATTGACGTGCAGGCGGACTAACAGCGCGTGCTGCTCCGTCTCCTCTTTGACCAATGAGCTGTGGGCTCTGAGGTCATGATGAAACTGCGTTGCCTGGGTCGGACATTCCGGCTCTTAGCTGCCACAGGAAAAGGTGGATTTGAGAGTCAAAATGGTGCCCATGTTTGGCATGAGATGTACATATTGGGAGGGTTAAGTAGATATCCAATGAAACAGGGTAAGATTAGAAAAATACGGGGAAGTGACACAGTCTCAGTTGTTTATTGTAGAAACGTCTTCCAGCTACAACAGCTACCTTGAAAAGCGATTATCAGTAACGTTACCAAGCTATGCACCTGTTTTAAGTTCCAAGTTTGCTTATTTGAAGTCATTTTTAATTTGTCGTGGACTGACAGCGTGAAGCTAGGTGAGTAAATGTGTTATTACCACAGACTGTACATATTACAGGTGTTGATCGACGGTCCTTCCAGAGGCTCTTTGCTATCACAAACAAACTAATGTAAACAGCGTTTGTACAATTTGCTGTAATTAAGTGTCATACATCATGTTCATCAGTAGCATTCACAGGACAGCTGTTCTTCTAAAGTTTGCACTTTGCTCTGTCGATTAATCGCTGCTTAAAACACACCTCTTTGCGTTGGCCTTCAAAACAAGTTCAACTTGACATTTTATGATCATCCTGTTTATTGTGGTGATTTTTATAAAGTGTTATTTGTTGTGCTTGTACTGCTATATATTAGTCTATTTGTGTGTTTTTTTTAACATGTAGGCCTACAGCACTTTGGTCAACTGAGGTTGTTATTTAATGTGCTACATAAATAAACTTTGACTTGACTTGATAACAGACTTATTTATTTATCAGTTTATTTGTCAGGGACAATACATTTAGGCATTGTTATATCTAATTGAAGTGCAACT